GTTTTGTGGTATTTATGGTTTGTAACTATAGTCCTAAGTCCTAGTAAAAGGATTAAATAGCCTTCAAAAAAAATATCACTGTTTTTAAAACATATCCATCGCGCAAAACGTCTGAATTGCAAATTTTTAGGATTTTATACTATAGTGGCAATGGATAAAAGAGGAAATTTTTAATTAAGATGAAACATAGTTTTGTTATTTGGATGGCTCAAATCATATTTAAATATCACTGTTTTTATACAAATGTGCAGCTCTTCGCTTTCTTAGAAATAATCTAATTTATTTTATTTTCACAATCTAAACAACTCACGAGTTTACCCACCACATTCTCTTCATCCATCCATTAAAATTAAGTGCCATTTATAATTTACATCCTCGACTTATTTGTTGTTTATGCCAATGCCACTTTTTAATTTGTTTAATTGTGAATTTTTTTATCAGGTCTATTGATTTAAATGTTTTTCTAATGTATTCGTTTCTTTATTGTGGTCCGCATACCAGGGGCGTAGCTATCGCGGTATCAGCCGTATCTATGATACGGGGCCCCCGGCTAGGGGGGGGCCGATTGGCTTCGACATGCGTAAGCAAAAAACATATTACCCACATGTTAAAAAAATTGAGGCCTAAAATTAAATAAATAAATAAATAATATTAGTATTTAATTGTTTCCTCATCACTATTTTTACACTTAGGTTATGTGCTCAAATTGTAAATATCTTAATTAAGGGAAGTGCTTTTGGATTTATTTACACAAATTAAATGTTTAAAGTTTAACCTGTGAACTGGTCCCAATTTCATCTGAGTAACCAGAAAGAAAAAAACTGATGAAAAAATTAATTTTGTGGTTATGGATTTTTTAAAATAGGTACTAAATTTTCTAATCATTGCTTAAGCTAATAGCTGGATAAGTAAATAAATACAGAAGGGTGTTAGAGCTTTAAGGGCATACAACTTTTGTATTTATTGAGTTTTTATTTATTTTTTGCAAGACAAATTTTTAGTACCAATTTTTTACATCTGCAGATGTGCCATGGCAACGCGCAGCTACTTTGTTGGTTGCTATCTATGTACTCACAGAACACAAGTGTGCAGAGATAAACCAAGTTTGTAACCAGTGGCGTATCACAAAAAATATAAAAAACTTCTAATGCATATTTTTTCTTTATCTTTGGGAAAATATTTTTTTAAATATTTTTCCTTTACTCCTTATGTCAAAAGGTATTCAGTATTTTAATATATAACATTAATTACATAACACCCTGTATATATATATATATATATATCTATATATATACAGGGTGTCCCGGAAAATGTGGGAAATCTTTCGGATTCAGATAGAACATTAAAAAATAAGATGACAAGTTCCCATAAATTTTTTTCCTAGCGGCCCTCCCTACGGAGATACGGCCTCCTAAAGGACGCCACTGGAAATCAGATTTTCTTGAATAACTTTTAAACTACTTAATATAATTTAATAAAAATTTAATAGGATAAACAGTAGTAAGGACCTCTTAAAATACTGTCCTTAAAACGTAATTAGCTTGTTTAGTTTACCAGGGGCGGACTAGGTTGTACATTTTAATGCTTACATTTTTAACACCCTGTATGATAGGGAGTTAAAAAAAAATAAATTTGGATACCTTGAACATTAAGCTAAAGAAAAGGTACTCTTGTTTATTGTCCATAAAATGAACCGTTTTCGAGGAAAAAAATAATAAAGAATTAATGTTTTATTTTTATTAAAAAGAACCATGATTTCTAATTTTTTGTCTGCAACAAAGTGTGATACGAAAGTCATTCAAGAAACAGAAAAGTTTTAGTTTAGGTTATTTAATCCGACAAAATTACAAGATTCTTAAAAATTCAGTCTTGTCCCAGAAAGGCATCTTAACAAAAATTATTTTTAGAAATATGTTTTTCTTGAAATTATTTAAAAAACAACCTTAAAAAATAATGTACAGAAAAATTAAATTAGAAATAATCAATTAAAAACTTCATAAGTGGGTTCAATATGGGCTCCGTGAACTCGCGGGCACGACGAATAGAGGACTGCTGTACTCGCCACAACAACCCAGCATTGTTCCTTATCGCATCACAATGAAATGTGATTCTCTGTAAAAGTTCCTCCCTAGTATCAACCGGAGAGGAATACACCAAGGTTTTGAGATGTCCCCACAGGTGAAAATCCATTGGCGTTAAGTCGGGAGAGCGTGGAGGCCAGGCAATGGGACCTCCTCTGCCTATCCAACGGTTTGGATAGACGTTATTCAGATAGTCCCGTACAGCAACGCTAAAATGAGGTGGGGCTCCATCATGCATAAAATACATGCGCTGGCGGGTTTCAATTGGCAAATGCTCTATTGAATCCAGAAAAGCATTCTGAAGGAACTGTAAATAAAATTCAATCGTGGCGGCAATACGCATGGTCCAATCAAAAAATTGCCATTTATTCCTGCCCAAACATTAATTGATTGGAACTGATATTGATAATGATGAACAACAGTGGCATGAGGGTTTTCATCAGCCCATACATGCGAGTTATGTAAATTTACAATACCATTTTTGGTAAACCCTGCTTCATCGGTAAAAAGAATAGAGCTAATGAAGTTTGGATTTGTCCGTTGCTGATCTAACATCCAGTTTACGAACTGGATTCTACGAGGAAAATCTTGAGGAAGTAGTTGATGCACTTTTTGCAAATGATAAGGTTGTAACAACTGTTCTTTAAGTACTTTATGAATTATCGTTTTTGACGTATGAAGCTGCGAGGCTAATCTTCGAGTGCTTATTGAAGGAGTATCAGCTACACTATCCAAAATATTTTCCTCCAATTGCACCGTACGTACTGTTCTTCTCACACCAGCATCAGTACTTGTTTTCCCAAAACTTAGACGTTGATCAAGTCGCTGAAATGTTTTCTGATTTGGAATATTGCCATCAGGATATCTTTCTTCATACAACCTTCTTGCTTCCAAAGCATTGCAAGATGCAAGCCCGTACATAAGATGCATATTTGCATACTCACTAAATGTGTATCCCATTATTTAATTAAATTTACCAATATATTCAAAATTCAATAAATTAATATCGAAGTAAAGGATCAACGTGCTAACAATATGAAAGATGACAAGATTTAAAATACACACGTCAATGCAAGATATTTATTATTTCGTAGGTACCATAGTAACGTTTGTAAAAACAGTGCGTTTTTTAATGCTAATGACAGTTTTATTTCAATTACTTTCGAATCACACTTTGTTGCAGACAGTGTTAGGTACAACATTTTTTCTAAAAGCGTGCGGAAAGTGTCTACAAGCAGAGAATCTCGAAATTTTCTTTATCAGTTTCCATTTTAAGTTTTATTTTTTTTTGTTTCCACACGCATAATCGTGCGGAAAGTTGCACTTTTCCGCTTGTAGAAAAAAAATTAGAAATCATGGTTCTTTTTAATAAAAATAAAACATTAATTCTTTATTATTTTTTTTTTGAAAACGGTTAATTTTATCGACAATAAACAAGAGTATCTTTTCTTTAGCTTAATGTTCAAGGTATCCAAATTTATTTTTTTAACTCCCTATCATACAGGGTGTTAAGAATGTAAGCATTAAAATATACAACCTAGTCCGCCCCTGGTAAACTAAACAAGCTAATTATATTTTAAGGGCAGTATTTTAAGAGGTCCTTACTACTGTTTATCATATTAAATTTTCATTAAATTATATTAAGTAGTTTAAAAGTTATTCAAGAAAAACTGATTTCCAGTGGCGTCCTTTAGGAGGCCGTATCTCCGTAGGGAGGGCCGCTAGGAAAAAAAATTATGGAACTTGTCATCTTATTTTTTAATGTTCTATCTGAATCCGAGAGATTTCCCACATTTTCCGGGACACCCTGTATAATACTATACCTATTTCTAAATGCTCTTTTACCTATTCTTTTACAGGTACCAATAATATGTTTTTAGGCATTTGGGCAAATGTTTTGAAAAATAAATGCAATTATGCCGAAGACATCATAGATTGGAACGCTACAAAAATATCGTCTTCAAATAATGAAAAATTAATTAATATATATAACGTATACGATCATACATTTCGTACAATCGGGTGAGGTCCCTGGTTGGGATTTAAAAGAGTTCCCATGTCACACGCAAGAGCTTTAAGTGAAGCTACATTAAAACGACACACAAATAGAGAGACCTGATCAAAGAATTTACAAACAAGGCAGATAACAAAAATGACAAATAAGACGAGGATATAAATTTTATATATTGTAAATAGCACACTCTTAAGGGTTGGATGGAGGGAAGGGTGTTTACATCCCCGTGAGGAGGTCTGCGTGGTTTAGAATCTAAACCACGCAGACCTCCTTACCCTTCTAATCTAAACTTTAGATTATAAAATTAAATTTACTATTTCTAAGCTAGCGAAGAGCTGCACATTTGTATGTAACAGTGATATAAATATACCTAACTAAGGCAACTTTTCTGCTGTATAGCGAATCAGAAATATAAATTAGAAATTTTTCGCACCACCCTACTGTGCAGGACTTATACAGAATTTATATTTCACATAATATAAATTTTTACACAGATCATCAATAAAAAATTCGATCTCGATCCATTATTAAACGCGGTGCAAACCTTATTAAATAAACTGTGGGGATAAAAAGACAATGGCAAGGCGAAAGAGAAAATAAAAGTCTTGGCTTGGCTATTTCCTGAATCAGATTGCAAGGAAAGTGTAGCGACTGCATAATAAATAATACTTCGGAAACGGTGTGTATTACACAAATTGAGTTATAGAAGCTGTATCCAGTAAATTACATGCTTAGCGGAAATAATGTATCACAATTCAAAAATATATGTTACCATAAAAGCCATTAAATTATGGCAAGTGTACATAAAAAGAATATTTGTTGTAAATTCGACATAACATTATTTATTTTATTTAGGTATTTTTAATATTATTCTTTTAAATAAAAATAATTTTTTTTCATTTCAGCTTTTAATAAAACAATGGACCGCCTGCACAAATACGGGAAGAGTTTAAAAGAATTTAATTATAACAATAAGGAGATAGCGGATGATATTTATTCAGCCATCAATTCAACTCAATTTTTAGGAATTTCGGTGAGTATCAAAATTCTACCTCTAATTTGGACTTTTAATTGGACTTGACAGCAGCAAATTTTATCGCAAATCATTTAACCAATGCTGAATAATTTTTGCGCATTCAAATCAAATATGACAATAAAATCCCTTGATTTGCATTTTAAATGGCATGTGATTTAACGAAACTGACCGTTTATATGCCAGGAAAATGAAAAATTGGCAGGGGCGTAGCAAAGGTTCGGATTATGGGGAAGTGATATTAATTATAATGCCGACTTTTGAATCTTAAATTGTTCCTTTACATTCGAATGATTGCATAATTTTTTAAAATGAAAATCCCAGAGGCATCATTTATTTGACTGCTTATAACATTTTTATAAGAAACACTTATTCGCGATGAAATAAATTTAATTAAAGATCAATGTCGTAACCACAATCCACACAACAAGGTCAAAACAAACAAAAGTAAAGCAACCCACTACAAAGACCTTAACGGCGTCCATTTTTATGTTGTTAACAATTCTTGATCTTTGGGTTTGTGCTGTTTATACAGATTCAAAATCGTTTTAAAAGTTGTGTTTCGTACAGAGGCACTTGTAAGCCTCAAATGAGGTCTTTAAGTACCATAACCCACAAATTGACCTTACCCACAAATTAACATTAAAATTGACATTTAACAGTTTCATGACAACCCTGATAGAATAAGGTTTATTTTTTACAAAAGAGGAGTACACTGGTTGCCCTTGCACCATTTAAGGCTTACAAGTGCCTCTGTAAGAAACACAAACGATTTTTATTCTGTATAAATAGCACAATCTCAAAGCATATGAATTGTAAACAACATAAAAATGGCCGCCGTTAGAGTTTGTGCAGTGGGTTGCCTAACTTCTGGATTTTTAGTAGGCGCAAAACGAGCAAATCAAAGACTTTTTAAAAATTAGGCTAAATTTAACGAACATGTACTCCATTTTTTGTTCACCATCAATTTTACTGACATATTAAAATTTCCTTTAGCAGCACAAAATATTGTTTTAGTTAGTTTAGTGATTAAAAACTATTCTCGATTTTCTTCGATTAGTTGGTATTGGCTTCATGCAGCTGCAGCTTTAGTCAGCATTAGTTTGAAGCTAATAAAACTTTAAAAAATGCCGACCCCTAAAAAAAGATATTGTTTTAAATTAATGAAAAAGTGCAGTAAATTAAATTTTTATTTTATATATATATATATATTTTTATATATATATATATATATATATATATATATATATATATATATATATATATATATATATATATATATATATATATATATATATATATATATATAAAGGAGAGTCATTTAACTTGAAACTTAAGTCAAGGACATCACTAACCCTCTGTAACAGAAAATCTTGCCTATGCCGAGCATGTGCCTAGGCAAGCTCTTAACTAAATAACTAAAACTTTTAGTTATTATATTATTATAAATAAATAAATAATATGAAATTTAAATAATTTGATTGTAGGAAAATGTTAAATTAGGTTTTAGGACATGTTTTAACTTTTTAAGCACAACTCTTATTGTATTAGTTTCTGGACAGTTACGGTACAATAAAGTACACTTTTGGAACACTCGATTTAAAACAATTTTAAACAGTTTACAAAATGTGCTCCTTTATCGGGGTCTTGATCTATCTTTTTTATGACTTTCAGGATACGTTAAAAATTTAATTAAACTCGGTTAAATCAATTATTGTTTTTAGAGTTTTTAGACAGTTTTAGGGCACTTTTTAGAACAAATTTTGGCGCTTACACTTGCAATAGCGTGCTAAAAAAATAACTTTGCATACTTGTTAGAAAAATAAACATTTTGGCAGTTCTTAGTCTGTTTAAAACGTTTAGGACCTTTAAGACGGTTTTGGGATATTTTGATTTACACACCTTTAGATAGTTTAGGCCATTTTCGACGGTTTTAAAAAACTTCTTAGACATTGTGTTCCAATAAAACTTAAAGAACAATTTTAAACAGTTTTAAATTTTATTATTTAAATTTAAGACGGTTTAGAATATTTTAAAAATATTTGTTTTAAAAAAGAAATCTTAAATTAATAACATTTGGTAAAATTAATTTTAAATAGTTTTGTTTAATTTAAATGCATTAAATTATTGCCTGTAGGGCAAAATTTATATTCAAAATATAGCAGTATTAAAAATTTTTAATGCGATTTAAAAATTAGCTTTCGACCAAGTGTCGATATTTTTAGGATAAATTTAATCAGTTTGGAATTGGATTTTTAAATGGTCGATACAGCGAGTCTAAATTATTTTTATATGCACATTTATAAGCATTTTAACATTTAATCCATTTTGATAATTATATTAAATGTGAATTCGACTATCAAAAAACACATATATTGTATAATCAGAATAAAATACATAAAGTTAATGGAATGGAATTTTATAACATTTTTTTTAAGTATATTTAGTAAATCAATGGTTTTTCTATCTTGGATCTGTTAACAAGAACAATAATTGTTTACAATAATTATTATTATTATAGCGCGGAAGTTTTCCAGAGATTACATAAAAATGATTATATTGTGAAAATGATTATATTACAGTTATTTTTTGCACATGTATAAAGATAAGTGTTTACTTTTTTAACTCTGATTTTTGTAAATATTTTGACGTCATCGCTGGAAAAGTTCCGCGGTATAATTATTATAGTAAACAAAAATATGAGAAACATCGACGGAAATCCCATTCCCGCCATAACTTATGTAGTTTGATACATCGTTCGATTTCTTGAATTTTTTACCTAACCATATAAAATTCCAATATGGCGGTAATAGAATCCACAAAAAAATTTAGTTGTATCTTAAAATCCAGTAGGAAAACAAATACAAATTAGATGAAAGTGTAGATAAATGTATATTACATGTAAAACTTTTTGCTATTTAATGTACATAATGTACCTACCATTTAGAACAGTAACAATTTTCAGATAAGCATTTATCAATTTTTGACGTCCTATAAAAAATATATATATAAAGGAAATAAATGGTAAACAATCAAGGTGGTGGAAGGCCATGCCAAAACAATCATTTTTGGTCCTGAAGACATGTGTCCTAAAGGGCGCACATTTTTCCTACACGGTTTTATAGTGTTATTTGTAAATATTTCCGAAAACACTTTGAATATTATTTTCAAGTTTGTTGTGTATTGGTAGAAAACCAGTGACTTTTTGGGGATATGTTATTTATTAGCCCGGTCAATTCTACATGAAATTGGCCTCCTATGTTTTTCTTGTCTTGATTTAAATAATAAAATTGAAGTTTTTTTATTTTATAAAATTCTAGCACTTTCTTAAAATGAAATAATCAAAATTCTACTATTTGAATTAGTACCAGAATTGTTTACTAATAAAATAGTCATTTTCACTTTAAAATAGTAATTTTAGGTTGTTAAAATTTGACTAATTTAAGATGTCAGCATCTTGATTGTTTCTAAGAGTGAGAAGTAACTAATTTCTTTAATCGTTTGCGGCCAACAACAAATTACTTTAAGAATTAAATTCATATAGGGTCCATGGTTAAATGGCCCATAAAAACAAAAAAAAGATTCAAGTTTAGCTCAAAACAGTAACACAAAAAATACAACTTCAAAATATTATTAACAATATTTATAGATAAATTAAACTAACTTTTATAACAGTGGCTTTAGCCCATCAGTCAGACATCCGCTTGAAAAGCAAAAGGCTGGGTCACAGAACTTAAAAAAAATAAAAATTTAAATCTACTAATTTGACTTTTTTATTTAGTAGAATTTGGCTAATTATTAGTGACTGCTTTTTCAATATGACAATTAGTCAAATGTGACTTATAAATAGTTATTTTTGACTAATTTATTTTAAGGGAGCAGGTAGCGGAGGCACAGTACGGTGGTTGTGTTAGTGTTTTGTTTAGGGTGGGTGATTCAATTTTTTTTATTTTTAAATGACCCTTATAAGTTTAAGTTTTTTTAATATTTTTTTATTTGGGAATGAGATCAAAACTTAACTCATTTTTAAAAATATTGATTACAAAATTTCAAATAATACAAAACAAAGACAGCCATGCTGAAAATTTATGTTTATAATGTCGTAATATAAACTTTTCTGAAATAGTTAATTTTAATTTAATTAATTTTTGATGAAATTACGTTTGTACCCATTCTGAAGTATGCCGCGTTTAGTGGCGTACTTATTTTTCTCCTAAACCTCCTAAATGTGTCTTATTTTTCGTTATAAATGTTTAAAAAAAACATTGTCTAAAATAGTTATTAATTGTTCGTTTTTAATGAAATTTGGGTTGTATCCATTTTGAAGTATGCCGCATTCACTGGCGTACTTATTTTTTTGAAACAACGGCCCTAATAATTTTTTTCGAATTTTGACATAGATTATTTCCCTCAATATAATATGAACCAATCAAAAGCCTTGCATTTTCGAATAAATTTCATTTAAATAAGCGATTAAATCACTAGACCTTCTTAACAGCGATTAAATTTTAGCCTCCATATTGGATTTTTGTTTACGATTTTATGGTGTTATTTACAAGATTTAACAAACATTTTTTAAAAAACAATAAAAAATAAGTTATCTAGTTTACGAAATATCAATTATTACTTATTACATACCTTAAATTAATGGAATTTTCTTTAAAAAAATATTTATAAACTTTGACACATACGTCAGATTTTATGAATGGTCAAATAGTTTTATTTATTTCGAGAAATAATCTAGACGTATATCACTCAACCTATAAATTTAATCTGTCAAACTATGCTCAGTAAGTTTTTTATTTGATTTTTCTTTTTGGAAAATAGTTTCATGCAAAATAATTAAAAATAAAACCCCTCGACCGCTACGCGGTCTCGTGATTTTATTAAATTATTTTGCATTCAACATTTTCCAACAAAAACCAAACAAAAAACTACTGAGCCTAGTTTACCCGATTAAATTCATAGTTCTCGTGATATAATATATGAAAAAATATTAT